GTACATGTATAGGAAATTATTTTTCAAAAGAAAAAGAGTTGTTTCCCTTCTTACAGATAATTTGTTTTAAAAAAATTGAACGAATTTTAGCCTTGCGACAGGTATTTCACGTCCCTTACAGGCCTGATAACCATATAAGGAGCGATGGTATTGAACATATTAATATTTTTTATGTTGTTGACATCTCGTGAAAGACGTTAATTTACAGTTCATAAATAGATGAATCACGCCTCATCAATATATTTTGTCATGGTAAATGAACAACAAAAATCAAATGTATTACTTGTATGTGCCAGGAGATATATCTATCCACAGAACAATTAGATTCACTATCCAGGATGCTTTCAGTTTTATATTTTAATAGTTAATAAACGTTTGATGTTCAAAATAATTACTTTCTCACGAATTTGAGTGTTCCGTAGCCTCACTGAAATAATATAATTAAATCGTTTACTCAGTCATGGATATTCAATATAAAAATACAAAAATGTAGCCCCGACAAATATATAGATACACACTTACAGAAGCAATCAGTGGTTCAGGACGATAGAAATGGTTCATTTACCGTAAAGTCCCTAATGCTTATAATTAAAACGATAGAAATGATTCATTTACCGTAATGTCCCTAATGCTTATGCATTGAAACGATAGAAATAATGAATTTACCATAATGTCACTAATACTTATACATTAAAACGATAGAGATAATTAATATACCGTAATGTCATTAATGCTTATGCATGGATTTTATTATTCAAAATAAGTCAGATATTAGACCGGCCAGGGGACATTTATAGAGACATGTTGTACATATTAAAATGGATTTCATTAACTTCCCCCTCCCTTATACGTAAACAGTAAGCATAAAGTTACTTATTCCGGTTACCAGAAAACCAAAGCGACGACAGACATAATACATTGGACCATCAATGAAGCTGTAGTGTGATTCCAATCCTCAGTTTTTTGTCCTCAGCTTGTCTTCGGTTTATTGCCCTCTGGTCCAATTTCTACGTACCTTAATTTGCAGTGACAACGGCATTCATATATTGTCTTTTAAAGATCGGTAGATGTTTTTTTTCAGAATTCATTGCGCGTTGACATGGATAGGTCAAGGGCGGTAACTTTAGCTTCTCTAGCGACCACCATTGTTTCTGACACAAATCGATGGCCTATAATAATTTGCCGCTGTTGGTGAACACGCTTTATTGAATTTCCCTGCAGTATTCGGTGCGGAATATTGTATTCTTTGATCTGTGTTTGCTTTTTCATTTTGAATAGTATGACCATAAATCGATTGTCAATTTAAATCCGACATGGAAGAAAAAGTTGGTGGCGTGGTAGTCACACACCAGATGCCTGGGAAGAAACTAGCAGACAAAAAGTTGACTGATATTTTATAGAATTATTAAAATATTATAGATTTTATCTGGCAGATGCTTATAGATAAGAGATGTCAATATATAGAGCATACCTGAGAAAATTTAACAAAACTAACACAAGCTAATATCATTCACTAGTTTTTGTAAAATGTACGTGTTATTACATCTCTTCCAACCCGGCCTCACCCACCTCCACCCCATCTCTCTCTCTTTCTCTCTCTCTCTCTCTCTCTCTCTCTCTCTCTCTCTCTCTCTCTCTCTCTCTCTCTCTCTCTCTCTCTCTCAAAGATATATCTATATAATCTCTCTGAAATTCCTCAAAAGTAGCATAATGTTGCTTCTTGTCCGATATTATTTACTAGTTCTTTCGGGGTCGTGTACATAATAATAATATTTTTTATATATATTTTATTCTATTGGATTCCAAAAAAAAAAAAAAAAAAAAAATACAAAATATAAAAATTACAGCTAGACTACTATAAATTTACTATTTTCAGAGTCGTAGTTGAGGCTCTAAATTAAATTTAGAGACTTTCCTCTCATGACAACTATAAACATATCTACCTGCTGCGATCTTTATCTATTAAGATTAATATCTTATTTTAAACGATAAAACAGATGTACTCCTGCTTTACACCACTATATCCCACGTATATACAGAGTCCTTTATGTTGAACAGTATTGCGTCCTTGATATCAATTGAACTGTAACATACAGCTTTCACAAATATCAACAAAGGTATATACCAACAAGTAAACAATATTAATTCTAACTCACGAAAAAAATGGGAGAAAAATTGGAAGATTTATAAAGATTTCACGGGGATGTAAACTCACCACTGATATCCGCCACGTAAATAATTCAGGTACAATGTATGCGTAATGCTATGTTCTCATAACAGGAACAAGGGCAAATTAATAAACATGTCCAGGTATATAAGTTTACACCAGAAAGGTTAGTACAAAGTATACATATCCCCCCTTTCTGTTTGTAATACATTAGCGTGGTAGATTTTTATTGGACTTGTATTTAAAAAAATTATGGAAAAGATAAGAGTATTTTCTGCTGCTAGCCACAATTAGGTATTTTGGTATATGTACATAAGATAACTTAAACAGTAACTCTTAGCATCACCCACGGGATAATACAATAGAACTGAATAATACATTAAAAGTATATTATAACTTTGACTTAAATATTCTCTGGCATTGTTTAACAACTATTTACCGATATACAGCGTTTATGGTTAAAACCGGTAAACTTTTAGTTAGTTTACTAGTAAATAAATAACCTTCCTTGTCTCATGAAAAGACAGGAAGTATTCGATTTGTATAAGTGTTAAAATTATCCTGCCTCGGGGAGAAGAACAACTTTTCTCGCACCTCAGATAGGGATATTCCACGTAATACCCCATCCTAGATTTTTCTATCTCGCCCGATCTGTCTAGTACTCTTACGTGCGTTTCCGCATCGGTGTATTCATCCGCGTGTGGACGCATGTGGCACCTACACCCATGCATTTCAACAGAAACGTAAGCTATATCGTTGTAAAAAAAATTCAACGATATTCTATTTAATTAATCATATTCCAAGTGTTGTAGATAAAATAAGATTTTCACTGTAAAATGTGTTGTATTTTTTGTAAGTGCGGCCTGCATTGTTTAAGCGGCACTATCCAAACGTTGTTTAAAAGTGAAGAGGCTGTGTGTGTAGTTTGAGGCCCCCATGTGGTACGCCAAATTCTGATAAAATATCGAATAATTTTCAGAGTAGTAGGTGCAAGAAAAAAAATTACCTGTAACTGAGCAAGATCAGGGTATCTTGGTCGAAGGTCGAGATCCTGTATCATAATCCCAACCGAGTCGTTAGCCGAGGTTAGGATGTTAAAGGATCTTAGCCCTGAGATACACCGATCTCGCTCAGTTACAGGTAACACAATTTATTAGTCTTGCTCTAGTGCTGCTAGCTTTTGAATTTTGAAGAGAGAGAGAGAGAGAGAGAGAGAGAGAGAGAGAGAGAGAGAGAGAGAGAGAGAGAGAGAGAGAGAGAGAGAGAGAGTGTGTGTGTGTGTGTGTGTGTGTGTGTGTGTGTGTTTGTGTGCGCTCGCGCGCGCAAAATAATGAAATTTTCACCTACAATTAAAGTGTTGTAAAACATTTACCTTGTGCAGTCTTAATTTCTAATATAAATTGTAACAAAATGGTTCGATAGGATTAAAGATATCTTTTGGTTCGGTAGTGTGATTCTAATATATGAAAGAGTCGAGAGAGACCGATTTCCAGTGGCTCGATAACGACCACTTCCATTATCGTCTGAGCCAAGTCTAAAAACCTCGTGTGGCGGATGATTGATCTTTGGGCAAGGATTGACGACGGAGACAAGCTGAGCCCAGGTATTGACATCTCCAGAATCTAGGAATGTATGATCGACCAATGTGTGTCACAGCTATAACTGTTATACTCGTCATTATTTGACTTTTGGGTCGTATTTTTCACGAGTTACTAACAACAAGTCTGGCCTTGGGAGAACCAAAATCTTGGAATCTCGTTAGAATGATATAAACAAATTGGGTCGATGTGATTAAAACGGTACTTAAGTTCATTTAGTGTAATTGCAATAACTGGTAGAGGGGGAACAGCGGTAAAGTAATTCCGGAAACCCTGAAGAAATGGTAAAGCGAATTTAACTAGCACGATTCATCACCAAAGGTGATCTCTATCTAAGAGGAAACTTGTATTGTATCCTTTTAAAAAATCCTATTGAGTAGAAATAATTATCTACCGAACCTATCCAATGTGTAATGAATTTGATAGGAACTAGTCAACTGAAATGATTACTTATTGTGCTAAAAGTCAGTACTGAGTGATTGAATGGATAGTGTTGTCTGCTCAGCCATGTCATCGGGTATATCACATCGTTCTCAAGGGTATCGGATACCATGTCAGCTTTAAAGATATTGTAAGTTATATAAACATTTCAGATATTTTTTAACATGCGAGACCTCAATTGCCTGTTGGCTAATATAAGATTATATATTTTTGATAATGTAATTTTCAAATTTTAGATATCAAAGTTGTGTATTTTGTCAAATGTTCTTGTTCTTGTTGTAATATTTATTTTTTAAAGATGTTTCACGAGGAAATTCGACATTTGAACAATAATATTATGAAACTTAATTTACACTGCAATGCGTGGTAAAAAAACTTTTACGAAGCATTACAAGGTAAAGTTAAGGGCACATATAGGGTTTCAATGAAATTCATAGTCTATTATTTCTTAATATTGAGTATTTCAATGCAGCTCACACAGAAACCCTCCTCGTTCCTTGTATCTATAAATACCGCAAGATAGATATATCTTATTGAAATTTAATTCCCTGTAGTCTATCTTTCTTCGTGTACAATATACCCTAGCATTTAATTTAACTCTGATATAATATGTTACCGACATGGCACGTTATAATACACAAAAGGTCAAAGTCATTGTCCTAATTTCAATGATTATGACAAAATTATACATGTTCAGAGTTGTTCCTAGTTTGATAATGACAGTAGTACATGCGTTTTGTATGTGTAATTTATTTTCTTTAATTTGTAAAAAATAAAAGCATATATCACATATTCTAAACCATCGATTCTTGTACACAATCCGGTGAAGCTGCGTCTTCCTGTTGCCATAGCAACACACCGTTGTCAACCATTGTTCCTCGTCCTGTCCTTGGCAGGGCAGGAATGGGTGGCCGGTCTAACTCGTTTGGCGAAATGCAAAGTTTGTCTGTTTTCTTCAAATCGTAACTGGCATAATTTGTGGGGTTGGCTGTGTTGTGATGGGTGTCGACCCTATAAGAGCGATCTGGATGAGGGGATTGCACTTTGTCTGATATGACAGGGATATGGCGATACGCAGAGTCATATGCACTGGAACTACGATGAGATGTGTCACTGTGATGAGAGGAGCTAATGTACAGATTTTGTTGGTCTCTAGATGTCTTATCAAGCACATCAGGAAGTTCCTCTAAAGCAACTTCCGGTGGCTCCATGATCGGTGCCCACTCCTCTAGTCGGCTGAGCCAAGTCTGAACACTTTGGGTGGCAGATGATTTGTCTTTGGGCAAGGAGTGGAGATTGACAAGGGAGACAGGCTGAGCCCAAGTATTTGCATCCTCAGAATCAAAGGAAAGCATGGTCGACCAATCCGTATCATAGTAGTAGCTATAGCTGATGTACTCAGATTCATCAGACGTTTCCGAGTCTTCCGGATCGTATTCCTCCACGGAGTTACTAAGGACATGCTTGGCCTTAGGAGAACCAAAAGCTTTAGATCCTTCGATCCCATTACACTCGTTGGGAAATAACGGAATGTCCTTCGTATGTGCTGTTTTTCTCATAGAGAATTGCTTAACCATCAAATTGTCTCTTGGTTTCGGTGCTCCTCGGTCGGAGAGCGCTCCCTGTACTGGGATGTGTTGTACTCCGTTAGTTGACTTACGCTGTTTGATTGATGACCGTGGTAACACAGCATCTGCAGCAATTACCATATCATCGGCGGGATGTATGCCTTTTTTACTTTGTCCTTTGCTTTGGCTACTGATGTTCAGGGTGTTTGTATTTCTGCTATTGCTCGAAGCAACGTCACCACTACTTCCGGTCAATCCTAGTTTCCTAGGAGATTTATCAGATTGAGATAAAGACCCATCTGCAGATTTCTTTTTCTTGGAATGATTTTTCTTTGATAGATTTAAAGGAATCTCAAGATTTGGTGTCGATATGCTATGGAATCCTTCATTGTCATAACCTTGTATGTGATCGATATGCACTGTATCTTCAATATGGCTGCCGTTTTCAAGATAACGCTGATCACGTGATCTTTGATCCCCACTGTGATTATTGGTATGTTGGCCCACGATGGCCTGTTTGGTTATATACAATGCTAAATCCATAGTGTCCACAGATATAGGATCATCCGAATCCACCCAATGAATACAACCACAACTTGAAGATTTTAGAATAATTCCAAATATGAAACTGACTATCATTAATGAAACAATGCACAATTTAAATAGGTAATCTCCTTCGAAAGCGACCATCCATACTGCTGTCATGGTAACATTTTCTATGACAATAGCACTATAGTAGAACACATTCCTACAACTCACTTTTGTTGTCTCCCTTTCAACAAGGTCAAATATGTTCAAGTATGAGAATAAAAAAATCCTTATCTGTCTCCACAATCCACAACCGTCTGTATACCCCGAGTATATGGATGTTATAAGAATATACACAATGAAATGGCCACAAACTGGTACTAATATATAGTAATGATACACGGACATGAACAAGATAAAAGATCCACATCTTGATATCAGCATTAAGAACGTCCCGAACACTAGAAAACATATTCCCACGGGCTTGCGAGCTCGAGCTTTCCATTCCAAAAATTCCTCGGAATCAAATAAAAACTTTCCTAAGTTGAAGGTTGCTAAGGCTATGGCACCGGAAACAAGAAATAAGAAAAATGAGAACACAGACTCGGCGTCGAATGAATTGGATGTGAACATGTAGTAACCGGAAGTGACGACAAAGGGAAGACTCTGTAAGGCAGTGTGGATGAGTCTTAGACCCAGGTATTCCTTCCAGTCAGACTCGTCATACAGAATGAGAAGTTTGAGGCAGCGCCATATTAGACCTAGCTGGCACGCGTGGAGGAGAACACACAGACATCGACCACATGTCTTGCCGGAGAAGTCCATGGTTCGGAGGACCATTACAGCCGACACGATATTTACAATAATTAGGGAACCAAGGACATAGGAAAGACTTAATCCGGCCAGAATAGCCGAAACTTCCCAAAGTCGCCAACACACATGGAGCTGGAGACCTGTCTCTATTAGGTATACCAACATACCGAACACAGCGAAAAATATGCCCATCGTGATGAAGAGGGTAGAGTGATTGTCAATCGACGGCTGTTTTTGGCTGTTTGGCTACATACTGGATGGATTTGTTAAGTATTTCGTGTGTGTCATCATCACTTCGTCACGAACTGACATTGCAGGATCATTTTTTATCCTTTTCTGACCAATTATGTGCGCACAATATGGCGACGACTACTTTGCACTTGTGTAACATAGTCAAATGATTCCCGCGCCGATCACTAGCTGTTGTAAGATATTTTTCCATGAATATTCAATTGATTTATACATCCAAATTCCGTCTCCAATGACAATCCTGAATTCCTACGGTAGGTACTTTGGTACGTATTTCCATCATTTCAGTCATCACTAACGCCTGCTCCTGTGTGAATTGTTCAGAAATGCAGCGTCTACCTCCGGCCTGAAGGATTCCGTTTCATCTAATACGTTATTGATAGTGGAGTGAAATCGCCGCTCTATTAGTTGTTTATTTTACAATAACAATCGTCCTTTGTGTAATAAGTCTGATAACGAGAACTGTTTTACTGACTACACACGACATTATTTGTGTTATTATACCATCGTCATTGCTGTATCGGGAAACAAATCACGTCATTCAACACCTAGGCTGGACAACACTATCGCCCTTTCGTTTGACCCTAGGACGTTCTCACCAACACCTCCACGCCACGCCTCAGGCGGGTATTGTTCTTTGTACTCTGTGTTTAGGTAGTAGAGACAATACAATGTCGAATTCAAGAAAGAGGTAACTGATTATGGTACCCAGCCCTAGGTCATTGTGTGATGGGATATCTGTTTAAATCATCAGACGGATTTAGGACGAGATATATATATGATACCTCGGCGTGGCTACACTACGTGTATAGGTTCATATCGACAACACCAGTCTAATATTGCACAGTAGTTAGCATGGCTCACTGATCTTCTTCAACGCCGTCAACCTGGAACGAAACGAACACAAATATTGTACTGGGTATGTGTAGGTAATCATGCTGAGATACAAGTGGCTAACATATCTGTGATAATCCGCAGATCGATTTACGGCAACAATGACTACAAGAGGTAAAATTATAAGCACATGAACTCTCCAGTAGGGTAAAGAATTAGGACTGGTAAGGTAGTATATAGTTAAGCGTATTATTATTTATGTACGAGGCGGAACTAATGAGTGAGAATACCTGGGCGGGCTACCTAACACCTTCTCTGGTCTATGTATTATAAACACCTATTGGATATTTAGGGCTTTGTTAACCATGACAGACATTTACTACTAAAGTAATGAAGTCCTGTCATGCTACATTCGATACTTCAATTTTAATCAGATCTGTCACTAAAACATGGATTCTCTTTGGTGAAGTTAACATCAGTGTGATAATACAGGGAGGAAATTAGAACTGCTGAGTAATCTGGTGAAGTATCCATCAGTATAATGGTACAGGGAGGAAAACAGAACTGCTGAGTAATCTGGTGAAGTATCCATCAGTATAATGGTACAGGGAGGAAAATAGAACTGCTGAGTAATCTGGTGAAGTATCCATCAGTATAATGGTACAGGGAGGAAAATAGAACTGCTGAGTAATCTGGTGAAGTATCCATCAGTATAATGGTACAGGGAGGAAAACAGAACTGCTGAGTAATCTGGTGAAGTATCCATCAGTATAATGGTACAGGGAGGAAAACAGAACTGCTGAGTAATCTGGTGAAGTATCCATCAGTATAATGGTACAGGGATGAAAACAGAACTGCTGAGTAATCTGGTGAAGTATCCATCAGTATAATGGTACAGGGAGGAAAACAGAACTGCTGAGTAATCTGGTGAAGTATCCATCAGTATAATGGTACAGGGAGGAAAATAGAACTGCTGAGTAATCTGGTGAAGTATCCATCAGTATAATGGTACAGGGAGGAAAATAGAACTGCTGAGTAATCTGGTGAAGTATCCATCAGTATAATGGTACAGGGAGGAAAACAGAACTGCTGAGTAATCTGGTGAAGTATCCATCAGTATAATGGTACAGGGAGGAAAACAGAACTGCTGAGTAATCTGGTGAAGTATCCATCAGTGTAATGGTACAGGGAGGAAAACAGAACTGCTGAGTAATCTGGTGAAGTATCCATCAGTGTGATAATACAGGAAGGGAAAATAGAACTGCTGAGTAATCTGGTGAAGTTAACAGCAGTGTGATAATACAGGAAGGGAAAATAGAACTGCTGAGTAATCTGGTGAAGTATCACAGTATAATGGTACAGGGAGGAAAATAGAACTGCTGAGTAATCCAAATAATGTACATGAGTTTGGAAAATTCGAAAATCCAAATCTACATCCCCATCTCAATAAAAAAAAAACTTAGACAAGGATTGCACATGATCATAAAATTCGAAGTAATTTTATCTGGCTAATATATTAAAAATGACATGTTTGGTTATATTTCCACTAACGTTGAGGCATAACATACCTAGCAATATGCTAATTACTTGTGAACAGATAGTGGGAACATTTTATCACACTAAAGAAAATTAAAAAGATAACTACAACACCGACTAAATATAAACAAGGTATAGAAATAAACATTAAATCATGACAAATATACTTAATGCTTAAAGTTGTAAATTTGTAATATATCTATTCTTTGTGATAATCCGAATTATTTCGCTAGATTTTTATTACCATAGTATTGGTATTGACAACACTAACCCTATATACACGTGGTATGAAAGTCAGGACGTCAAAACATGTTTAATCTCTGACATTTCCAATTATTTCGATTGAAATCAATGACATTTTAACGCTATAAATTGATTGAAAACAGACATTAGAAAATTGTTACCATTAGATAAAATGTTTGCTAATGCACAATTTATTGAAATTGGATTTTAAAACAAAATTTGGGTGACTTTTTAAAAATCATTTTGCTTAAAAGACACTTACATATACTCACGTATAGGCTTGTTATAGGACATTATACACATGAAATATATATGGAAGGGTTTGTTTTAAATGTATGCCTGAAAATTTTGCTATTGATTTCTTTTCGTATTTACATTCCATTATGTCTGTGGTAATGCTTCCATCGTTTATATTTACTTTCTTTTCATAACAAATGTTTAAATTATTTGCACCTGCACATGCTGTTAATACTGGAAACATTCCCTTTTCAAACATATAACAACACATACCATTGACCACTAGGAAGTGTCAGTCAATTACCAACAAAGGTCTGCATACTCCGTCATCATACTAAGCCCTACTGGGAACACATATTGCTTGTCACACTTTTAAGGACTTTGAATGGAGGACATATTCACACACCCAACACTCACTATCTCTAGTTTACTAGACTAAAGTATTGCCATATTTAAAAAATGACTTGAAGAAAATAAAAAAAAAATGACTTGTGTAAAGATTTTTGATGATAAAAGATTTAAATGTCCTTCTATACTCTATACCTTTATAAGTGGTTGAAGGACCTTGCGAAGGGGGCGGGTATCCCCTTACTATGCACGCTCTCACACCGGAGCTCCCTAACTCTGCCTAATTTTCAGAGACTTGGGTTCAATGACAACAATCACTTCTTCAAACTACAGTACATGTAGTGGTAGTGTTAGGTACCGGTACAAATGTCGGTATTGGTTTGTAGATATAGGTGGTCACATGTCTGACATGCTGTACCTTATGTATTGGGGTTTTACACACTTATCGGTTAAGATGGTGTATACCTAAGGGACAAGTTTTGTTAAGGCACTCTAGAGAGGAAGTATTATGTATAGGTAAACAGATATCCTATCAATAACGATAAGGTATTCACTAGACACTTTTATAGAGCGAAAGTACTCGATCAGGCCATTTTATACACTAGACGTTTTCCTGTAGTTGAACACCATCATCAATTACAAGCTCGTGGTCAACAGAACATTAAACCATCATCAATTACAAACTCGTGGTCAACAGAACAAACTCGTGGCCAACAGAACACTAACACACGGTGAACATAAACTCGTGGTCAACAGAACACTAACACACGGTGAACATAACAAACTCGTGGTCAACAGAACATTAAACCATCATCAATTACAAGCTCGTGGTCAACAGAACATTAAACCATCATCAATTACAAACTCGTGGTCAACAGAACATTAAACCATCATCAATTACAAACTCGTGGTCAACAGAACATTAAACCATCATCAATTACAAACTCGTGGTCAACAGAATATTAAACCATCATCAATTACAAGCTCGTGGTCAACAGAACATTAAACCATCATCAATTACAAGCTCGTGGTCAACAGAACATTAAACCATCATCAATTACAAGCTCGTGGTCAACAGAACATTAAACCATCATCAATTACAAACTCGTGGTCAACATAACAAACTCGTGGTCAACAGAACACTAACACACGGTGAACATAACAAACTCGTGGTCAACAGAACATTAAACCATCATCAATTACAAGCTCGTGGTCAACAGAACATTAAACCATCATCAATTACAAACTCGTGGTCAACATAACAAACTCGTGGTCAACAGAACACTAACACACGGTGAACATAAACTCGTGGTCAACAGAACACTAACACACGGTGAACATAACAAACTCGAGGTCAACAGAACACTAACACACGGTGAACATAACAAACTCGTGGTCAACAGAACATTAAACCATCATCAATTACAAGCTCGTGGTCAACAGAACATTAAACCATCATCAATTACAAACTCGTGGTCAACATAACAAACTCGTGGTCAACAGAACACTAACACACGGTGAACATAAACTCGTGGCCAACAGAACACTAACACACGGTGAACATAAACTCGTGGCCAACAGAACACTAACACACGGTGAACATAAACTCGTGGTCAACAGAACACTAACACACGGTGAACATAACAAACTCGTGGTCAACAGAACACTAACACACGGTGAACATAACAAACTCGTGGTCAACAGAATATTAAACCATCATCAATTACAAACTCGTGGTCAACAGA